TGTGAAAAGTAAATGTCGAGTCAAGAAAACTCGACATTGCATTTTGAATGGAAACTTAGTTGGAAGAAATTCGTGAATCGGTCTCACCAGCAACCACCTTTTCTCTTGGTTAACCATACTGATGCGCTACTCCGTAAATTAAGAATTCTTGTTCACTTTGGGTTTATTGGTTTTGTAGATCTGTAGGTCGGTTTTGTCCTGTCATTATCCTACACTCTTGACTGCAAGGTAATCATTTTTCTGTTTCCGAGGAGGTAAATTCATGAACTCCTTCCACCAACTTTTCCTTCAGAATCAAATGTTGAGTGCCATTGTGAAGAGCAGTCGGAGGTGGAATGTACCCTGCTATTTATTGTGAATCAGTGATCGCTACGAGATGTTAAGCTCGGCTGATCAGTTTTTGGTATTTGGAAATTGCCTCGTATTTGCCACCAACTCACAGGAGAATAGCATGTTCTGCACAATCTACCTTTTAGTTTGGGCTTCAATCCCGACCTCTACTTCTGGTGGACATGCCATTTGCTGCTTTGTCTCTGGAGACCTCGGCCAATTTGGAGTTGTCACTAGCATGGTTTGATGACATTTTGAGTGCTGAATAAGTTTGGCTCTTTCAGCTGTCTTTTATCTCAAAACGTAAACAATTCAGCTTTGTCCCGCTTGGTGTGATGATCTGGAAGCGCTTGACTATGGATTACGTCCTGGATGGATGCAGGCTCCTCAAAAAGTTCACTTCAGACAAGACCCCAAGTAGTTCAAACTCTCCTTTTCTATCCATCGCATCACTCATCTTTCGCCTACTCTTCCACTAACTATTACGAACGCGAGCATTTGGCTTTCATATAATTACATTTATATTATGCATATTTTGTTTCTTTTCCAAGCAGCCGAAGTAAACTCAATCAGAGATGTTGAGGAGCATTAAAAAAGAGCGAGAAAGCTACTGTTAAGCAAATTAAAAAGCGAAAATCAGCAGAACTTCATAATTGTCTTTAATTCATTTTTCAATTAAATTCAACTCTCTGTTTCATCGGTCGAACAGAAAATTGGCCACTTTAATTGGTTGTGACTCTGCCTCAACGATGGCGCCTCGCATTGACGATTCCGACTACGATGCCGGCAAACGTTTGGGAATGTAGCCAGCCATGACAGAGGACGCATGACCTGGCACGCTCCACAAGGTCTCCGACCAAGTTTTGAGAACGAGGTCAAACCAACAGTAGATTCTACTTTATTTGCTTATGGTTCGCGGGGAATTTGTCTTAAAAGGTGCCTTCTGGTTCTGACGATGTCCGTTACATGGCAAGGGAGAGCATAGCAGCGATTCATCAGGGTCGCAAGACGGTGGACCGATGCTCCTCTGGAAAATATTTACTTACAATAGAATAGCATACTACTTATGTCATAGAAGTTGTTTGACCTTGTTTTCGCAACTTGGTCATATTGGTAGGAAGACTTAGAGGGACGCAACTACTCCGAAGTCCATTGTATGCATCATCATTTCCAGAGTTGTACCGTGGACATGGTACATTCCCAGAAGTTTCGCCGGCATCGACCGTGAGTCTCGCCATTCTTAGCACCATATTACAACTTGTCAAAGAGACAAGAGTTATAATATGGTGCTACGAATGGCGAGACTCACTGACGATGCTGGCGAAACGTCTGGGAATGTACAACGTCCATGGTCCTACTCTGCAAATGATGATGCATACAATGGACTCCGAACAAGGTGCGTCGCTCTAAGTCTTCCTACCAATATGACCAAGTTGCGAAAATAAGGTCAAACAACCTCCAAGCAACGAAATGAGACTACGACCACACAAAAGGCCACACCATCTTGGTCTTCATACCTTTGCTTATTTCATAGTTTGCTAGAACCTCTGTACTGAATATGTAGAAAATTAAATCACATTTTTCTGTGTTTACTGTATGATCTAAGGCCTTTGCTTATAAATAACTTTTTGCTTCTCGGAATAATGGTAGAAAATAAATTATTTTTGATATTTTGAAGAATTACGGCGCATCGCTGTGTTCTGGTGGCCTTCCGTTCAGCATTTCTATGAGATTTCCCAGCGTCCGCATGATCGACACAGCCATTGAACAGGCTTAACTAAAAGGCAATCCTCCTTCGGTATCCGGTGCGGCCGATTCACGAAACCCTTCCACTTCCGTTTACATTTGAAATTGATACTAAGCTAGCCTCAAGCTATTAATGGATTCTTCGAAACCCATCTTTTCTTCTTATCCTAATTCATCGCAACGTTGGAGTTGGCAAATGGTCTCTGCCTTTAAACTCCTTGCAAAATCTAATGACAGGCTCTAAAACTGCTCGCAATTAACGCTTTGTTTTTCCTGCCAAGTATTACTGTAAAACTGTGCATAGCCGATATCCCTCCAATACATATGTGAATTCCCAGCCTCCGTATAGCCCAGAGCGTCCTGTACACCCAATAATCCGCGACTCCGGTCCTTCTCCGGTTACCCCATCTGGTACTTTCCCATAAAAATGGGCGTCAATCGCCCTGTCCCTTCATTTCCTTGACGGCCAGGGCTGCTATCTGCACCGGGCCCACCATAAGTCCACCCGATCAGCCAGCTGCGAGGCAGCTTGACCATGTTGGTTGATTCATCAACATATCCTACTACAATAAAATGGACTATATTTCCCGGATGAAAAATGTAAGAGGCAAATAAAATTTGATTATATGCAATGTTTCTGATCATTTCCCACAAAAGTTGGTTCCTATTTCGGGATTGCGAAACATGATTTTTCTCAAATGACTGACAATTAAGAGAAGTACGCTTGCACCTCGCAACTCTCTACCCTCTTAGTTACGGTTCTGAAGTTATCAGGGTAACACGCACTAGCTGATGTACATTAAAATTTTAAACAAATTAAGGGATCGATACGAAAGAGGGAATTGATAGTACGAGTCTCCCTACCCTCGCGATAATGTCACGCAGATCCCTTATTCATTTTTCCTTTCCCTGGTAACTGCCCCTCTCTCCTGTTCATGCTTTCGTGTGCATACTCTGCAATAGGCCTTCAATATTTGGCCTATTTATTTGTTTACCTTCTTGGACATGTTTATGCTTTGTTGTGTTGACAAGCCATGGGCGGTGGCTAAAACGATGGGAAGTGCCGAAGTACAGCACATCGTTGTTTCGCCCTTTAAACCAATCTTTATTGCCCGACTGAAAAAGAATTTTGGTCTTGGTAGTGGTAAAGTTGATTTGCCCTTCCAGACCGGTGAGCCTAGTTGCATAGAAAATCTAACCAGGCTCATTAAGGAACAGTGTTAAATGCGCGAACTTCAATGAATGCCTGCGAAAAGTAAATGGCCGGAAGATAGAAATCCACAAAGCTATTACCTTTGCTGCATCGCTACAGGGGCGCTGTTTAGTGCAAACTTATCAATATTGGTCATTAATCTTTCCCTCCATGTACAGAAATGTTTGGTGTATGAAGGTGAAAAGTGGCAGGACTTAGCTTGCTTAACAGGACCAAATTTTCACAGGCTGGTGGTAATTAAGGCATGACTTAGGAAAGCGCAACTGAGTCTGATTTTCTTTCCCTCGAACTGGTACCTTGTATGCGCAATCGAGCAAGGATTGAATGCATTATTTCACCTAAAGATGACATCATAATCAGCTTTATCGGGGGCAGAACCATCAACACAGCCAAAGCAATCCTCAAGTACAATCACTGCTTTCCACACTGACAAATCGATACATAATGGAAAAGATACCATTATGGGCATATACGTTTACATGTCAGGTCGCCGTTACCACAGCCAGATGGGTTATGGTCTGCTCCGTCCCACGACGACCACAATCATAGTAAGAAGGGTTCAATTTGAACCTCTTGACCTGACGTGGACGACAGTTGCTAAATCAATTTATCTGGCTGAGGTTTAATTTTGTTGTCGTGATGGCTTATATTCTTGCAATAACGTAGCTATTGGTAGCTATACTTCTGATCCATGCCATCAGACCTGTCGTTTCATATCGAATTAGGATACAAGGGGCCCGTTGGTTGGCCCAACCGGAATCTGATAGAGGAATTCCTTTATGATTGTGAATGTTGTTTTGAACGTTGCGCTCCTCGATTCACCGTCGTCTGACTCCAATAAATCTCCACTCAGCTTTCGTCTGTACTGTTGTGAGAGGCATGTTCAGAGTGGGAAATCGTTTTAAAACAAAACCCCAATTAAGCAATTAGTTGATTTTTTTTACCTTAACGAGATATCTGATGCTCCGTTTATAAGTTGGTTTTGAAGACTAATAAATCTCATATATCTGATGACCAGTTTGTCTGGTCTGCAAACAAATCAAGCAGACCTGGAGCTGATTCAGCATCCGATTTCGTCCGTAAATGACCTGTTGTCGATTTGCCTCCCGGACTAATGCGATGCTGAAGCATGTTATGGTATGTGGTTGCGAAGGGGCCTCAACCTGACTCATTTCGATGAGCATTGGAGCCGGGGCAGTATGTAGCGAGTATAATCAGTAGCTTGGTTGTGCAGTTAATTGACTCGTCATTTTAAGGAGACTTCGAAAAAGCTAGCCCATACTTCGTCTTTTGCCGTCGCTGACATCTGCCCATTGGCTAAGTACAATTCAATTCATTCATCAATTTGATGCTTTAAGGCCAGTGCCAAGCACTGACGAGGCCTGCAGAGCATATGTCAATGATGACATGGGTTCGTCCCAATCTCTAGGACGCTCATTTGGGTCTCAAGGCATCTCTTGGTTTGCAATTGTTGAGCTCACTTCCTGTTAGAGTGATAGTCTTTGATGAAAGGATTCAAAGATGGATCTCATTAGCTTGAATTTGGTTGTACGATTGATGATATTCCTCGTTTGACAGCTGAAAGCTTAGCACGTTTTCATCGGAATAGAAGGAGACCATTTCGAAAACAGTATCCACTAGAATATTCCAGAAAAGCGAAAATAGATTTGATGGTGAGATCAACCTTCGAATCTATTTAGCACAAACCTACTTTCGAATTCAAAGTAAGCCTAACAAATCTAACTTGCCCTCTGGTTTCGACTGGGTCCACTTAAATGGAATGGAAGTCCAATTACCTGAAACTATTAAGGGATTCCTTCCTCTAAGCACGGGTTCTACTCTTAGCTTCGAATCAATATAAAGGAATAACAAATAAATAAACAAAGTTTCCGGTACTTACACTAAAGCAGGTCAGTATGACTAGCAGCTCTAGCAGCGGTAATAACAGCACCGTTAAGTAAATATCAAAGAAATGAATAAATTCTTTGCTTATTTCTTATTAATTGGGTTGTCCTATTCTTAATTTCATGAAGTCGAACCGGTTTCAACTGTCATCCAGTTCATGGCGCTTTTTTTTAAAAATGTATTAGTTTATTAAACGCCTCATCCACCAAAAACGAATCTACATTTGCATAAGCTCACAATACTGGCTTTGCATGTAGCCAAGGAAAGTTAGCTGAGTGTACAATTTGAAAAAAAAAATTAAATCCGAGGCACTATTCCTTTACTTTTCTGAGAGGAAACAACCGAAAAGACAAAGTTTACCGTGTAAGATTATCGTCTCCTCATCTCTTGATTTCTTCGCAGCTCAAAGTATAGGCAGAATTTGGAATCTACTCTTGTTATACTATAAACTGGGACTTTGAACTTATGGGTATCCACGATTAGTGAACGATCAATTTGGCGCCAACCACTCAGAGAGAACGCATTCAACCCAGCTTTGTTACATCGCCATTTGGCCT